ATTTCTTTGAGTGTCTTAGACCGTTTGAGGATTCCCATTCCAGGTTAGGGATGGAGTCTTCCAGGTTCTTGAGTTCCGCTTTAAATTGGTTTGCACTTGAGAAGCAGAACGGTTCTAGTCAAATTAATGGCTAAAGAGGCTATGAGAAATTGCTGGAAATTATTTTCAAGTTTGTAGAACGACCGCTAGGAGGCGCAACTGAAACAAAAAATAAGAAAATGGAGTTTTTACACTATTTTGCCTAGATAAGGTGTACTATAAGTAATAGAATATTTTTTGTTAGAGCCATTTTCCACTATCTACCAAAATAAAGTGGTGGGGGAAGGTTAGATCTGTTTTTATTTCAATATTAATAACTCTGGACTGGATGATCGTAATCTAACAATCGATGGCTCGTTCAAAAGAGCCTTTCTTACTCTATATTGTACCATATAAACAATAATAATAAGCTTTTGAACGTCGACGCTAGGGGGCCTTATTAAATGCAATAGTATTTGCCTTATTAAATGCAAAATTAAATGCAATAGTATATGTAGTTTTAGCTATAAAAGAGTAGTAAAAGCTTAAAAAGTCAGCGAAAACCGCATCTTGATATCTTCTTTCAAACCAAAGATATTAGCAAAATTATAATAAATACCAAAAAAAAAGTATCGATTTTAAAATAAACTAACTGTTTCTATCATAGTTTTTGTTAGAATGGGCATAATCAAGAGGGCTACTGATACCATATTGTAAAAATCAGGTAAATTAAGGGCTTATTTTTTGGTATTTATTATAATTTTGCTAATATCTTCGGTTTGCAAGAAGATGTCAGTGCGGTTTTCGCTGTCTTTTTAAGCTTTTACTACTCTTTACTATCACCTAAAATTACATATACTATTGTATTTAATTTTTTTGAAAAAACGCTATATGTTTGTTAACTTGTAAGAAAGCGCCTCCTAGCGTCTACATTCAAAACCTTATTATTATTATTTTATGGCAAAATATAGAGTAAGAAACGCTCTTTTAAACGAGCCCTCGTTTGTTGAATTCCGGTCATCCAGTCCGGAGTTATTAACATTTAAATAAAGATAGATCTAACCTTCCCCCACCAGTTTATTTTAGCAGATAGGGGAAAATGGCTCTAACAACAAAGAAAATCCAAAATTTACTGAAGATTATGAAGCTATTATATTTATAGTACCCATTATCTAGGCAAAATTCTGTAAAAATTCTATTTCCTTATTTTCTAGAGCAGTTGCGCCCCCTAGCGGCCATTTTACAAACTTGGAAATAATTTTCAGCAATTTCTCATAGATCTTTAGTTATAAATACATATTTTTTTCCGCAGGCCCTGCGACTAATACTTTCCGAGATACAGCCGAGAGCTATTCTTAGTGGGACACCCGGTACATTCTTGGTATGTCATCCACTGGGAGTTGAAGCGGTAGAATTTTCTTTTTGAAAATCTTTTTCTCTCTTTTTTTATTCATCACAATGGATATTTTTGTCCAAGATATTTTCTTTTCATAAAGACAGTAAAGATACACAGCGATTTTAGAAGTGAGAGAAAAATGTTAATTATTTGTAAAAATTTGAACCAGTTCAAGGTTATTAATCTGCAGAAGGTCTTCTTAAAACTACAAAATGTTCAATTATTGTTATGTAAACAGTGATTCTACATAAGTAAATACGGATTCGTTATATTTCGCTTTAATTAAGTTTTAAACTAAAATTTCCGCTGAAGTATTTTAAATCGAAATAAGTTAGGTTTCTAATTAGTTGGAAATGTTAATTATTTCCGATTTAAAACTTTCCTCAAAAGATATTGTTAAACAACCTTTCCTTTAATTATATTGTCGTATGTGCTTTTCGATTTGACATTTATTCTGATTTAAATAACATCGCTGAAGTAAGTACATTTTCTATAGAATGTCAAATAAAACTAATTAAGACACAGTTTACTATTCGATCCCTATTATACAAGGTTTTTCATACAAGCCGTTTTAGTAATTTGTATAACTAGTGCAAAAAGGAAATATTTCTTCCAAGACGCATCATGCTGAGTGCTGAGTGCAGCAAATATGCTTTTTGCATATGTTGCACACAAAACATTTTTTCTACGATCGAATTGAAATTTTTATTTAAATGTTTATTAAAAAGTTTTTACAGTAATTCTCAGATTACTACTACACTATAATCAATTTTTTTTTAATAACTTTTTTGAGTTGATTTTAATTTTAATGTCGCAGTTTGAACAATTCACAAAGGTAATTGATGGACAAATTTCATTTCCAGTAGTCTTTTGAATTTGTGCTCGCAGAGGTGTCGGGTTCTTGTTCTTCACTTATAACTCTTTTGCGGAATGTTGCTGCGAGGTGTCCAGTACTAGTACTTGGTTTACCTTCCAGGATTTCACAAATTTTTACAAAAATTCACAAATTTTTTCTCTTTAGTTCAACTTGTCATTAATAATGTCAAGGTGTTTTTGCACTAGTGCAAAAAACAAGTTACTTTTGCACTAGTGTAAAAAATTTGACTTTTAATACAGTAGATAGTGTAAAAAATAGCTATTTTTTGCGTAATCTTAGAAAAAAGTATTTTAAGGAGGGTCTTGTGTGACTTAAAATGATTCTAAAGATTATAATCCATTTGCATGCTCTATAATCTATAAAGCTCTTTTACCGTATGATCGAAAAAAAACGGCAACCTATTGGCTTGGAATTGACGATCGCTGACAATCCCCATATAAAGTGACGGCGATCTTCATTTCATAGCCATCGCTGACGCCGTTTTTTTTTCGATCATATTGTAGTTTTTATAAATATTCCGGTAAATACCTGCCCTAGCAACGTCTTTACACATAATGCAGAGATTTCTTTTCAGTTTAAATATTTGGCTAAAAAACTACTATATTTTGTGATGACAATTATTCAGAAATACTGAAATAATGAGGAATAAAAAATAAAATTCTGTAACAACGATCGCTATGATAAACTTATATTGAGCGACTTATAACTTTGTATTTTATTTATATTTTACGTTATTTTGTGAGTTATATGGTTATTGTATAACTATATGTGTGTGATTTATATTTTATGAATACATGTTGATAAACTGATGAAGACCAAATTGTAGTCGAAATGTTTTTGTAACTAAATTGTTGAAATAATATAATAAAAATTAATATAGTATATAATAATAATATAATAAATAAAAATAAATAATATATAAATATCAGCATAATAATAAGATATAAATATCAGCGAAAGAAGTAGAGAAGATCAGCAAGTATAAAGATCTTGAAATTAAAATGAGCAGAATGTGGAACAAGAAGACGAAAGTATTCCCAGTAGTAATTGATGCACTGGGTACGCTTACTAAAGGGCATAGTAATTTCATCAAACTTATACCTGGCCACCCATCAACGAGCGAAGTACAGAAGATAGCTTTGCTGGGAACAGCATACCTACTCCGGATTCACCTATTACCGTCAATTAAGAAGGCTAGAAGAGAATGGAATGAATATAATAAATTATAATTGTTAATCAAAAATGTATCGAAAATGACAATATAAAAGAAGCAGAAGTTCACCACAATACATCAAAACACTTTACGGTTAACATCGGATTCGCGTTTAGCTAACCTTTATTATTTATTTAGTTAAAACGTTAAAACAATATATAGCAAACAAACATCTAGACATTTTACATATTCTATTGCTTCCAGCTTTGCGGTCAGGAAATCTTCGGAGCAACCTTCGTATGGTCGATGACTTTCCTCTATAAAATGTTTATTCGTTTGGACCTCCCCACAATTGCATGAGGAAGATGAAAGTTTTTCCCATTTGTTTAGGAAATATGCACATCTTCCGTGTTGGGACTTGATACGATTTAGTGTGTACCAGGTTTTGCGCGGTAAGAAATCCTGGTGGTCTTTCAGTTATGCATTTTTTGTTAAGCTTCCGACCAATCATGTACCCATCTCCTTGTAATATTAAACTGAGTTTCTATAGCAGTTCTTGCGGTTTTTATAGGTGGTTTTCTGGAACGTAGTCAGTTGTTTGCATTTTTAATGTAATTGTGTACTGGAAGTTCTCAAATATCTTTTTATATTCCTTTATGTTCCTTGATTAACATTGCAAATTGGTTTGGCGGAGGTGAGATGGTTGGATATCGCTTAGAACTGGTCGCCAGTGGGTTGGGGTGGATTTGTTTACGCTAGCGATCATTTCCATATAGTTGTTTAATTTGTGCCTCAATCTTTTTTATGTGACAATCGTTAATCCATACTGGAGCACAGTTACTCCACTACAGAGTAAACAAGACAGTCCTACAGCAGACAATCTATAATAAGTGTGGATACCGATGCTCCCCATGTCGAACCACAGAGTTTCTGGATAATGTTGTTTTTGATCTTTAACTTTTCCGCAGTTTTAGATGGATGTACGTTAAAACTTAATGTTCGGTCGAGATTTTGGGCTTTTATTGTGATGAAGTTGTGTTATCGAAGTAGACATAAAGTTTCTTCTCAGCCATATTGTTGTTTAAATGGAAACATAATACTTCGGTTTTAGAAGCGTTAGGTTGGAGTCTCCATTTCCGAAAAAACCTTACTTTTTTATTTGGAGTTTTCTTTTCCAGTGGCGAAAAATCCAGATTATTTTCAAGAAATTCATTTTATTCAAAAGTAACTAATTTAGGGAATTGTTTTCCTTTTTAATAAACAAAAATTAAAAAACATTAAACATAGAATTATAAGCAATAGCTTGACATAAATCCAGATGTTCTTAAGGCAAACTTAAATACTGAAACATCAAAACAATAGTAAACAAAATTTCTAACAGAACTAACCTAAGCAATCAATTATTTGTAAATCGGTGAAAACAAACATCTGCAAAATAATCATTAATGAGCAAAACATCAGTTTCAGTACTCAAGATTGGACGTGGGAAAGGGGAGGGGGCGCTCCATATATACATATAAACGCATATGTTATCGGCAAAGACTTAATATCACACCTTCAAACGCGCAAATATGATTCGTTTGTGCTTATCGCCAATTCATTTACACTCCGCCCGATTTGTACCCACGGTCCTGAAAAAGCATCAACACTCAACCAATCCCACTTGTTAAATTGGAAGGATTAAGATATACAGTGCTGCTGGAGATTTGATATGACAGTTTACATCTGCAGAATTCGGTTAAAGTAAAATAGACTTTAATTTTTTTTCGATAAACGAATATAGTTCTTTTGAAAAATTTCTATTCATTTCTCTATGATACTCCCGCTTCTATTGACTAGTTTGGTCTCTTTGGGATATATTCCGGTGGTTTTATCGAGAATTATACCAAACGTAGTCGATGTGGATGCCAGTGATGTTGAAAACCGGCTTGTGTATAACGACATGTACGAATACATGGTAAGTTCATTTTTATGTAATAAAAATCGAAATTATATTTTAGTAATTAAGATATAAATAAAAGAGTTAATACCATAATAAACTGGTTAAGATTTTTTGGTCATCATATAACAGCTTTCGCTTTTTTTATTAAGAAGAGAAATAAATTTTAAAAGAGTTTTTTTTTAAATAATACGTATACTGGGAGAACAAAAAAAGGTACTTATTTTTGTTTATCTAAATCCAAAAAAAAATTTATTATCCTTAATATTTCCGAATCTTTTAAGATTAACATACTTAATTATTTTTTATTTGGCAGCCTGTATATTTGTTAAATTATAGCATATTATTTAGAAAAAAAAAATCTTTTGAGATGGATTTTTTAGATTTTTCTTAATATATTCGATTTTGTAAAGATTGACATATTTAATTATTTTTTATTGGACAGCGTGTATATTTGTCAAATGATAGTATATTATTTAGAAAAAAGGCAAAAATAAAATTATAGAATATTATTTAGGAAATTTTTTTTTAGATTTTTCTTAGTCATCATCATCATTCTCAGCTTATTCAACCATATCCAAATATGATGTAGCCTCCCTCAGATATTTAGAAACTCTCTTTGTTGTAGGGCCAATTGTTGTCTAATGTTCGCTATGCGGGCCTAAGTTATCATTCCTAATTTCCTAATATTATAGCCCCATCTCAGGTTTGGTCTTCTTCTACGTCTCTTAATTTTTCGTAGGTACCATGCTGTAATTTGTGTAGTCCATCTGTTCTTACCTTGCATTTCATCAGCCAACTATTTTTATTAAAATAAAAATAGTTTGGGTACCTAGGTCGACTCAGCCTTAAATGAGTACTTGGGATTCACAATCCTGAGGTAATAATAGGCGGTTGAAACGTAGTGCTAGCCACATTACCTTCCTTGTATACCGAACGGCTCTAGTATTATAGCAAGCTATACCTTGCTACTCCAAAGGCGTTAAACGCTATATACGGGAGCTATTATTATTATTTGGATAACATCTATTACCTGGGTCTTTTGTCGTATCCACGTTATTCTTTTTCGGTCTTTTCTGGTTATTCCCAGCATATTTCGTTCCATTGAGCGTTGTGCTACCTGTAGTTTCCTTATAATGTCCGTTTAAAGTGTCCAGGTTTTGCATGAATAAGTCATAACTGGTAGTACACATCGAATGTTTTCTTCTTTAGATAAAGTGGCCTTCTAGATTTGAATATGATTTTCTTCCATAAGCAATAAGCACTCCATGCTAACTTAATTCTTCTGTTAATTTCTGGTAGTAGAGATCCCGAGCTGTGTTTTTATTAATTTAGCTGTTCTACTATTTCCAGTGTTTTGTTATTTATTAGAATGGCTTTTCTGTCTATTAGTTCGTTGTACATTACTTTGGTTTTTGCTAAATTCATTTTGAGACCTTCTTTTTCTTAACCTACTACTTTTTCTTGGTATTTACGATTTTTTAAAGACTGACATATTTAATTATTTTTAATTGGATAGCCTCCTGAGAAATATACATTGTCAGGAAAGTAACTTTTGAAATCTATTGATAAACATTTTTTACAATCTTTTCAAATATATATTTAGAGTATGAGTTTATACAGTCCTCTTATCGTTTAATTGGAAAAAATAATGTATAAATGTTTTGTTCTATAATAAAAGTGTCATCTACTGTTTTATTATTTTTTTAGTGTTCTCTATCTTTCTTTGTGAGTTTTATTTATACGCAGGACACACAGGTTGTGACACAGGTGTCTACCGTTTCAAAATTTCCGGAAATCCATAAACATAAAGAAAGACAAACCTTTCCAAAAGAATTCATTCTTTTAAAAATCAGGAGTAATTATTTCTTGCTCAGCTATATCCAGACACAACAGGTTTTTAAATGATAACTACTTTGAGAACCACAAAATTATATCATACATTTTAGAAACAATATTTCTAATATTTGTGTACGAGTGAGGGGCCACAAAAGTGTGGGTTTTTCACTGAAATAGAAATACAACATAAGGTTTTTTTTTGTAAACACCACTGCATTGAATGCAAAAGGAAACCAAAAGCACGAAAAGAAAAAAAGAGAAAACTATTTAAAGTGTCTAAATACAACTATTCAAGAACACTTTAGTTTTTAGCAGATACGTCTGTTACAGTTTCCATAGATCCCAAACTTGGTTGTTTAAAAAACTTTTCATTTTTTATAATTTGCTGTATTAATGGCGGTTAATAATATAGGTATTTTAATACATATTTATTTTATTTACAAAGCTTATATATTATTTATCTACCTACAGAAATAATATGGATAAATTAGTAATTATCTGTATAATAGCCGTTCGATGACTGCTCAATTTGATTAACTTCATTTTTGAAAAATAATAGATTTAAGTGTAAAGGCACTTGGTATATTCATAAGTTTTTATATTAAAAATGTTATAAACATTAAAAGTTCAATATATCAAGTATAGTTTTACACTCACATTTAAGATTTTGCATTAAGTGGCGTTAATGAGTTATACAATAAACGGCTGTTCAGTTCGACAACAAAACTGTCGTTTTGCCCACACAGAAGTAAATATAAGTTTACAAAAAAAGCGACTTAAAAATCTAATACTTTTCCATAGTTTCCCAAAATTATGTAATTTTACAAAACTGGTTACGAATTTTTACAATTAGCTATATTTAATACCTATTAAACTTTTAGTTACGTAACCGTGGGCGCAATTTTTAAGCTCATTGTTACCAACCATGGACATATTCGGCGCCGGGCTGACTAACCGGAATTTAAATTTTCCGCTGGGGATTCAGGTGGTAACTCTGCTGTAAAAAATGTCCAGTTGCCACATTTATTTATTTATTTTCTGACATTGTCGACTGTTTTGACATTTTAGTTTTTTATTACGACTTTTTGGTTTAAATAAATAGTGTTGTGATACTTTAAGCTTAAAAATGTTTACTAGCAGACCTTGCAGTCGACCATTGTTTTTTTTAGAACCTCTTTTAGTGCGAAGTGGTGCAAGATAGCTTAATAGCCGTAAAAAACTCATTGAGACTTTATTAGAATATTTTGAACGGAAAAGTGGTAGTAATGACCCTTTATACTTAAGTGCTGTTAAGACGGTGAGTTTTGTTGATATAAAACTGTTTATATATTTATAATTAATTTACTTTTGTTTCCTAAAATATTTTGATTATAAAAAAAATATGTAAAAGTGGGCAACGCTGTGCCGGTAAAGCTTAATCACGTGACCAAAAGTTTATTTGATATGAACTATATGCGTGTTGACAAATGAAATTTAAACCGCATATTTTTGTAGTAAAATTCTTTCATTTTTTGTAGTAAAATTCTTTCATTTTTGTAGTAAAATCCTTTCACTAAACATAATGCTACAGATAAAACAACTGGTGTCAGTTTTCTAGACGATCTTCAATCTTTTACCTGACACTTAAAACTGACAGGTAAAACGTTATGTGTAAACGGGGCTTAATAAGATTGTTGATTAACATAATGCAGAATTTGAAAATAATGAATTTTTTGAATGAACGACGATTACGTTTGTTTACTAATAGTACTAGATTAAACATTCTTATATTTAAAAAATCGTTATCTTGTTAATTAATACTAATATATGCGTAATTTACAAAATAACGTTCAATACTGATCGGGTGAAGATCATTTATTTGTATTCTAGAAAACGACAGGCAAATTAATGATATTTTGACAATAAATATTTTTATTTACGCATTATATCAATTTTCTGACACCTTATATCAGACATTATCAAACTATATTTATGACTGTTTTGCATTGGATTCAGTATAACTCTTAATTAAAAATTAAAAATAGTGATTACACATATAAAATACGAGGTTTCCAGTTAAAGCTTATACTTACTAAAACATGTATATTTTAAAATAGTCTAATTAACAAAATGCTGTTGCTGTTCTGATTTTTCAACTGAAGGAAAGTGACTCAAAATTTTGATTTATCCTTGTTATTGATTGTATTATTATATTTTAGTATTTTATTTATCCTTTATGAGTGTTATTATTTATTATTTTGATATACAGGGTGGTCCGAACTGTATTCCGGAAACTTCGGCGGTATATTCTGCAAATAAAAATAAGTAAAAAAGTTCCTATAAATGTATGTCCTAAAATGCTGAGATACAGGAGGTAGAAATTTCATTTTTATTTCGATTTTTTCAAATAATTTCGGAGATACAGGGTGTACAAATTTCATATTTATTTCGATTTTTTCTAAGTAATTCATGAAGTGACGTCAATATTTGGATTAAAATTGGTGTCTGGGAGACTTTTGACATGAAAATTTTGATGTCAATATGACTCCTACTTGTAGAGGGCACCACCTACATATTTATTAACTGGTTTGAAGAGTAATAACTTTTCGTCCGTACCTGTATAAAATTACTGAGTAAAAAAATATATATTCACGACGTTTTTTATGCAAAGAAGATCTCTTGGTAAAAATCGCTACGAGTAATGGTTCTCGAGATATTTGGAATCGAAATTATCAATACATGTCATCATTGACATAAATTGAACATGTTGACTAAATAGCTATTAGACTAAAATCATAATTTTTTAGAAGAAAAATTTATGATTTAAAAAAATACAAAGTTCCCAAATTTATCATTTCAGTCAAATAACTCGGTTGTTCCTAGCGATTTTTACCAAGAGGCATTTTTTACGTAAACAATCACGAAAGTGTATATTTTTCCACTCAGTAGTATTATACAGTTACGGGCATAAAGTTATTACTCTTCAAAAAGTTATTACTCTTAAAACACATGTAGGTGTCGCACTCTATAAACAAAAGTCATATTGACATCAAAATCATATTTCTCATGTCAAAAAATTCGCAGACACTAATGTTTATTCAAATATTGACGTTACTTCAGAAATTATTTGAAAAAAAATCGAAATAAAAATTAAAGTTCTACACCCTGTATCTACAAAACTAAGCATTTTAAGACATACA